ACCAGATCATACACTGTGATATCAAGCCTCAAAATATCCTGTAGATGACTCCTTTACAGCAAGAATTTCTGACTTCAGATTAGCAAAACTTTTGAAGACAAACCAGACTCGAACTGTTGCTGCAATCAGGGGAAAAAAAGGATATGTTGCCACAGAATGGTTTAAAAACATGCCAATCACAGTCAAAGTTGACATTTACCGCTTTGGAATTCTGTTGCTAGAACTCATTTGCTGCAGGAAGAATTTTGAGCAAGATGCATTGGCTGATTGGACGTATGATTGCTATGAAGAAAGGACCTTGCATTTGCTAGTACAGGAGGATGAAGAGGCAATTCAGGACATTAAGATGGTAGAGAAGTTTGTGATGATTGCCATTTGGTGCATCCAAGATGATCTATCTTTTAAGGCCCACTATGAAGAGAGTCTCACAGATGCTAGAAGGAGCTGTTGAAGTTCCCCTCCCCCCATTGAATCCTAATTCATCAGTTCAATTCAAGTCTAAATAGGCATCACGATCAGATGATGTAGAAGAACAGTTGGTAGTCAATCTTATATGACAGATTTGTATTTTCTAGGGTGATCTCTACCGACTGGATATTTATGAATGTGAAACATGCAATGCAACAGGATTTACTACAAATCTAGAAATAAATGAACAAGCTCCTCCCTTCTCTAGGCAAACTATGTACAAATAATAACAGAGAACATTGGAACATCAATTCCTTCCCCAAATTCTCATATTCAATATGACATGAGTAAGGACCCACCTTGATAGCCAAAAATTCCCAGAAATTTAAGTCCATTTCCAGCAAAATCCAAATTACGGGAACAGCTGACTTTCCCATGGTCTGCCTTTCTAATGTAGGGACATATAGTAATTGAGTCATTATCATATTAAACAAAACAAATGGGTTCACAGTTCAGTTCACACAATTAGAACCTGTAGAAATGCTGCAGGTTTGGATTATTTTATGCAAGTGAATTTCCATTTCTAGGTTGATTCTGTAATTGCATGATTCAGAGAACATACTTACCTGTTCCCCTGATTCCAGAACTGAAGGATAGTACCATCCTCGGTTATGATCAACCCCGGTTAAAATCAGCAAACTTTAGCAAAGAGTCAAAGACCCATGTTGTTTGGAATTGCAGATTTCACCCAGATGCCAACTGCCTAGGTTCAAATGTATGCAAGGTACTGGATTTTGAATTTCCTCTCTTTCAACCTTCTATATTCCAAAAGAAATAGAATACATCAGCCATTAAGTTTAACTCTCAATATTTTTTCAAGGGTTTTTCTTCAAGGAAAGAATTGAGAAAGGAAAAGACCTTTGTTTCGCTGTGTGATTACATTGGCCATCCACAGAACATCGTCTCTGATAATGAAACGCCCAGCTTTGCCATCTCAAAGCTTCTCTCTAGATCACATTGCTCTCTTGTTGCAGAAATGCCTAAAAGCAAAAGCCTTGAAACCTGGCAAGCAAGTCCATGCTTGGTTACGACCGGAACTGATATGAAAATATTATCGTTGAACGCAAAGCTCGTTGGCATGTATGCGAGTTGTGGGGATTTGGGTTCTGCTCGTTTCATCTTCGAAAGGATTCAAAAGCCGAATGGTTTAGCTGTGAATTGGATGGTTTTGGCCTCTGCATTTAATGGGTACTTTGAAGAAGCAATAGGGTACTTCTCTGTAATGCGGGGGTCGATGAATTTTTGCAATAAATTTACGTTTCCCGTTTTGTTGAAAGCTTGTGTTGGGTTGATGGATTTGAACAAGGGGAAGGAAGTCCATGCCATTGTTAAAATGACGGGGCTTGAGAGTGAAGTAGGTAATCCCCTGATTGACATGTATGGTAAATGCCGGCACTTATGCTATGCTCGTAAGGTGTTTGATAGAATGGTTGAGAGAGATATTGTTTCCTGGACATCGATGATATGTGGGTACTGCAACGTGGGAAATATGGATATAGCATTTGATCTGCTCCAGAGAATGAAATTGGAAGGATTGAGCCCTAACGACTTCACATGGAATGCGTTGGTATCAGGCTATGCTCGGGTGGGAGATATCAGAGGTGCAGTTGCTCTTTTTGATAGAATGATTGGAGAAGGTTTGGTTCCTGATTTGATTACATGGAATGCTATTATTTCAGGTTTTGCTCAGGGGCAGCAACCTGTTGAAGCATTCAAGTGGTTTCGAGACACATTTAGATCAGGGATTAAACCAGATCAGGTTACCATAACAGGATTGCTCCCAGCTTGTGGATTGACTGGATCAATTCAAAAAGGTAGAGAGATTCATGGTTATATATATAGGATGGCACTTTATAAGAACGTGTTTATTGCTAGTGCTCTTATTGACATGTACTCAAAATGTGGCAGTGTGAAAGATGCTGAGAATGTGCTTGAAAAGATGCCCATCAAGAATTCTGCGTCATGGAATGCCTTGATTGGATGCTATGGGAAACATGGCATGATTGATTCCGCAATAATGCTGTTTGAAAGGATGCAGGAAGAAGGAATACAGGCTAGTGGTTTGACCTTAACTTCTGTTCTGTCTGCATGCAGCCACAGTGGTTCTGTTGAGAAAGGTTTAAAGATATTTAGGTCCATGGAAAAAGTTACGGGATTGAAGAACATTATGCTTGCATAATTGATATGTTATGCCGAGCAGGAAGGATGGAAAAAGCTTATGAATTAATAAAAGAGATGCCATTTGAAGTTACTGAGTCAATTGCCTGTGCCTTCTTCCATGGATGTAAGATCCATGGTAGACAAGATTTGGCTAAATTGATGGGTGAAAAAATTCTGAAAATGGAATTAAGAAAACCAGGAGGTTTTGTTACCCTATCAAATATTTTTGCTGCTGATGGTGAATGGGAAGAGGTTGAGAATCTAAGGAAGATAATGAAGGAGAAGAGAATCCAGAAAGTGCCAGGCTTTAGCTGGCTTGAGAAGAAAGATGATTTGGCTGGGCCAAAGGTAGAAGAGGAAAGCAACAGAAAGAGAGGTGACACATACTAATCATTGCCAGTTAATATGGGGACGAGTTTCAAAAGACACTATACCTATCATAATCATATTAGTCATCATCGTGACACTTGTGCTTAATTTGGGGAAATGCTTAATATGCGGTACCACTGGAGAGCACCTGAAGCCAGGAAGGTATGCATTACATGCTTATACTATTTTCTTGATTATGCATGTGAAACCATATTTTCCCTTGAGACTTGTCTTTTCATTACATATGTTAAGTTTTTGGATGCTATATTCAGTCTTGTGTATTCAATACAAAACTAACAGCATTTCCAGTGGGGCACAAGCCACAAAAGTAAATTAAAACAGGAAGAGTGGGGTAGTGGAGTCAATAATAACTTCACATTATTCATGTGACATTTGGATGCTGTTTCTGATATGCTGAGCTGCTGTCAGTCACAACGATTATCATGATAGCTTCGATGATTGCTACTGTTTTGCCGTTCTTTGAAAACAAAGAGTGATTGATCATGGACCATTACATTCAATATGTTGTTTCTAACTCAAACGGAGAAACTCTGATGTATCCCTACAGGAGGGGACAGAGTTTCACAAAATCGTTTATCTAATAAAATAAAATCTGTGAAGAAAAAATTTATTTTTTCTTCTCAGATTTCTGTACAAAATTGAGACAATACATTCAAATCTACAGGGTAAATATAGGATCAGAAAAGAATGGTAGAAGATGTTATCATGCCAAGTGAGCTTTAAAAAAAATGGTGAGTTTAGGAAGCAGATATTAGGAGGGTCTGGAACATGATTCCATTCACCTTGAGTTCTGAAACCTTAGTCATGAATTTTGAAAGGATGATGACCTACCAATGCATTAATCCCACCTTCTTTACCAAGTTAGGCAGAAGATTTTGGGTTTGCTTGCGGGAGACCATCCTCCATGTCTCAAGTTATTGCACAACAATGGGGGCTTGAGAAAATTGTGAGAAGTTGATTATCTCAACAGTTATTTTTTTTTTTCCTTGTTTTTTATTGACTGTAGCAGCACATTTGCTGCTTCGATTGTAATTGCTAAATAAGATTTCACATTTTATCAAAAAAGAAAAGAAAAAATGTTGTAAAAAGTATTAATAATTGATAACGAATATCAGATTGTTGATATCCTTTTTTATAATCTAAATATGAGAACGTTATTTTATAATTTGGATTATATTATACTATAAAATATATAAATCATTAGATGAAATAACAACCCTTAATATTAAAATGTTCAACCCTTAATATTTAATAATTATTATTGTATAGTTTAATATAATTTAAATTGTATAATATTTTTTTTAAGTATTATAAATAGATAAAT